AGTCTGCATTCCTGGTGAATTATGTGCACACAAATTTTCAAACTTCCAGCGCTCATAATGACTGAGATCCGAGCGGAGAAAGGCTTTTGTCAAGGGTTTAACAGTAATATGGGTGGAAGTTTCTGTCAATAAAAAAGAAGATTTCAATTCATCGTTCGATAGACAAACCATCGGATTGGTACTGGTTGTGTCAATGAACTCGTTGATCTGTCTTTCGAATTCTATTAAGAGCTATGTGAGATAGTCTATCGTCCTTCCACATTGATACTCTTGAAATCGAATCAATCCGTTTATGCAACGATCTTCTTTAATTTTAGCTACAATTTCGATTTAACTTTCTCATTTGTCTTTCAATGGCTTGTAGAATCTACTCAAACTCAGCCTCCGTCTCAAGAGTTTAAGTCAGAAGTTCGTATGAAAAAAAGTTCTGATGATAGGTATCTTAACTTAATTTCGAACATAATCTTGTGCTAATTTGATAAGAAAATGTAAAGTGTATCACTTCAGGCCTTACCTGTAGCATCAGCAATGCTGAAGCTGAATATTAAAAGAGAGATCATGCTCCATCCTTGTATACTGCAACATCAAAACGAGTATATCGGCTTCTTCAATCAGTAACAGATTATGTCTACTTACAGTTGCACACCCATGGATTTGCTTGTTGTTTTTAAAAGGAGAATGGTTATCTAATCTGTAAATTCGAGGAACGAGCACTTCTTTTCCGGCCAAAGTATATTCTATACTCATTTCAATTCAATGCAGATGACAATAAACGAAGAGAAAGACAGACAACTATCGATACGAATGCAGAACCACATCTGTTTTACGTTTACAACGTCTTCTAAACTACTGTAGCGAGTTGATTGCTAAATGTGGCAAACGGATAAGGACGGTTCTGAAAAGCGGACGAGAAGAAAAATACATGCATCGCTATCAGAACACTGTCGTTTTGGTCTCACTAGCAGAGTTGCCATATGTTAAACTCGAAAATTCGGAATAGAAATTCCCCAATCCGGAAACTTTCGAAATTTATGAATGAAAAGAAATGGACAATGTATAACATAAAAATAAAAAATAATAAAAACAGCTAAAATTTTTTTTTAATGTGATGTAATGTAACAACGTGATATTTCGGTACCTATTCACAGACACCATCATCAGACGAGACCACCAACATGACACAGTATACATATATGTATATCAGAACTACAACGAACTAATATAATATATGTAGAAGATATGTATCAGCACATATTAAAATAAGTTAACTCATTAATTATAAAAACCACATAAATTAACTTGAATGAAATCCATTTAATTGCTGTATATGTATCAAATTATGAATGAAAGGAAATGGACAATGTATAACATAAAGATAAAAAATAATAAAAACGGCTAAAAATTTTTTTTTAATTTAATGTGATGTAACAACGTGATATTTCGGTATCTATTCACAGACACCATCATTAGACGAACACCGGTAGGTTGTATCTATATGTTTAATAGGAGGTAGGCATGTGCTTGCGTGTATGTGTTTTTGATGTTGAATAAATGACTCATAACCTTTCATTCTGTATGAGTATTAGTAGTGATATAGATGGAAGGGTATACTCTGTGTCGGTTATTCACGATTCGTGATAGCGATGGACGTATCAGAAGTTTGTTGTTGTTTTTGTTTTGTTTTATTGTTTCGTTCTATTCCATCGGCGTAAATATAGAGTGGAGGGTGTGGGTGTGGGTGTGGATGGGTGTGGGCGTGGGTGTGATTGGCACTAAACTAACAATGGAAGGTCGGGAACTGATGAGCAGCAAGATTGATCTTGTTCCGGTGAAATGATTACTCTCATCGAGAAACTAACGTATTTGAAGTATGAGCTGCTGATGGCGTACTCGAACAGAGACATTCAATTACTAAGTTATGCACAATGTGTTACTGGATCAAAGATCAAGAGTCAAAGGTCAAAGGCCAAAGGTCAAAGATTAACGATAAATATCAGCGGCTGATAAATGTCTCAAGTCTTGAAGAGTTGTATAGTTTGGGCTTGAGACATTTATCATCCGCTGATCTTTATCGTTAATCTTTGACCGTTAATGTTTGGCCTTTGACCTTTGACCCTTGACCTTTGACTTTTAAACAACTAACAGTTTGTGCATAACTTAAAAATTGAACATCTCTGTCCAGGTATGCCATCTGCAGCTCATATTTTAGATTCATTAGTTTCTCGTTGAAAGCTTTCTTTTGGTCCGAATATGATCAATATATTCGCTCAACAGTTCCCCGCCCTTCCATTGTAAGACCCACACCTACATCCACATCCACCCCACTCACCCACACCCTCCTCATTTCAAACCTTCTTGAATTAGAAATGCCATTGCATCTAGTTCGTTGGATATATCAATGGTTATAAGGTATAACAATGGCAATTCATCATGGAGATTCAATATCTAAAACCATAAAAATATTTTGTGATGCACCACAAAGTTCTGTATTGCCCGCAACTCTATTTCGTTTACGTATTCATTTTCTACCAAAAATATTTGCTCAGTTATTATCGCACTTATTTGCTGATGATGTTGCGTTGGTATAAAGGGTGGCCCAGAAGTGCTGACTCGATTTGTATCATAAATTTTTCTTTAGTAAAACGCGCGGTTGAAAATTTATCTCTATGAAGAAAAGATGCAGTAAAAGGCGCTCTACAAAATGACTATTGATTGACCTCACCAGCTCATCTAGTAGGAAAGTTATAGACTTAGAAATGTGCTTCACAAAAAAGGATAATTAACCTTGAACTTGGTCTACATAGTAACGATTTCAGTAAAACTCCTATAACTTCATCAAAACAAAAGGTTTTTCGATCGCGTTTGTTTTGTTTTGATCAGAAATGATTGCTCTTGTCTATCTAGCTGCAAGATCAAAAGTTCAATCCCATTTTCTGTTTCTTGCTGGGTACACTGTTGGAAATGGAATTGTCCATTTTTGACGTATGTTTGAAACTTACTTCTTGAGCACTGCATCTGCACTAAAAAAAACTTTTTTCTATAGAATACGAGAAAGAACACATTTGAAAGTGCTAAACACAAACTGAGTTCTCACTTTTGGTACAATTTTCTACGAAAATAGTAGGAGAAGAAAAAGTTCAAATCGAAAAACAACCAAATTTACAAAGTTTTCATGTTTTTTCGCCTCGTGTATAATTTGCTCAATTCCCTTGATTGAAGTTCCAAAATTAAAGTTCAGGTATAATTTTGTAGAGGATTTCACGGCGCTTCTATCTAACAAAGAATTTGTTTTAGGGGACTTAAGGAACAAGAGTTATAGTACGAATACCGAAATTGGAATCACGGTTATTTTTTCTTTTTTGTGAAGCACATTTCTAAGTCTATAACTTTCTTACTAGATGAGCTAGTGAAGTCAATCAATAGTCATTTTATAGACCGTCTTTTACTGCATCTTTTCTTCGTAGACACAAATTTTCAACCGCGCGTTTTACTAAAGAAAAATTTATTACACAAATCGAGTCACCATTTCTGAGCCATCCTTTAAAATCTCCGTCAACTTAAACTATAATATTCTCTCTCAAAAAACCACGTTTTTAACCAAATGGTATTATTGGTTGATTGTGTAATAACATCAAAAAACAAATAAAAAATCTGCTGACAACCTCTTTAATATTTACTTTTGTGAAAATGATAGAGGATAAAACTAGGCAATAATATTCTTTTAAATTTAATTAATGTCTAAACGGTATAAACGATTCATTTAATTATTATGAGAATAAACAAATATGAAGAAAAAATCAATTTCAACTTATTTATTCTTCCAATGCTGATGAATAACATCAAGCTAATGAATTAGATCATGATGAACCATTTGTAAATGGTTGGCAAAGTAGTCAATTATGTATATATTCACAAGAACTTATACTTCAATTTCAAATATTTATTTTGAGATATCACTTGGACATAAAAATTCTTTGAGTGTTTGACGAAAAATTACACGCTAGACTAAAAATTAAAAAAAGAAATTATTCGACTAAAAATAGAAAAATTTAACTATATGTCGTTGTTTCTTTTCATTTTATAAATGTTTCCAATCATCTTGTTCTTTTTTTTACTTTATTCAACTATTTCAGGTATATCAACTTCTGAACGAATACGAATACTTGGACAAGGAAATATAACCACATCAATATATTTAGTTTTTCCTTTCAAATTCTAACTAAAAATTCCATGGTTACCAATGTGTAGATACATACGCTTACGATCAATATCCAATGATGGTAGGGCACCCGTATCATCCAACGCAATTCGATTATTTTTATAGAATAACAGTATTTGATGATGATAATAAGAATGATGTCACTATCAAAGTTTCTGTTCGATATTGACATTGTAGCATTAAGCTGTTTATGCTTGAATCAAGTTTGCATATCGAAAAAAACTACTCATCGCTTATTGATCGATTAGAATTTTATCAAGATATATCTTTAAATAGATTAATTCATTTTTTATTCTATTAAAAGATCTTAACCATGCTATCGACTTTTCAAAAGAGAATCGTTTGAAAACAATCTATATAATTAATATATATTTATGATTATAGAAATAAAAGAAGTTTAAAGAAAAGAAAAAGAAATAATAACAATGTCAATGATATCATATCATCATCATATATCGTTTCAGTTTTGTTTTGATTAGTCAATCAAATCAACTAATGAAATAATAAACGTTCTTCCATTAAATTAAATTTTGATAAAATAATTTAAAATAAATTTTCTCATAAAATATAACTAAAGCTAAAAGAATTTTTTTCTAATTCTAAGAAATGATTGGACAACAGCATATTTATTTTTCAATGTTTATTTTTAAGTGATCGAATATTTATTTGTATAAAACATAACCAATCGATTTCTTTTAACTATTAGTTATTTCACCTCCTTTAACATTCTCTTTCTTTTCGGTTTAGATTAAAATATTCACACAAAAGATAATCTTGTTTGATGGGAATAGCTGCACTTGAACAATTTAGTTCGATAGCTCATTTTGTTCCACTTTACCTTCAAGATCAACAATTAACAAATCAAGTTTTTTTAGTAAAGCATGATCCAACAGGCCCAAAAGATGCTCACACGAGTGTACTTGTTGATGTAGCTGGTACATCAACCGCCACCAACATTGAAGGTGTATTATGTCATGTCGTAGCTAACACTAATGATGGTCAAATTCCTCATTCTACAAGTTTCAAATGTGATTATTGGGAGTCACCAAAATCACGATTAACATTGATATATATTGGAAATCTTGCAGAGAGTAAGTATATAGGTGGTGTTGAGCCATTACCACAATATCTCAATAATCCATGGGTAAATAAACCGTCTTTTAGTTTTCTGAGCACAATATTTTTTTTAGATGCAAAATGGTATTCATCAACATTTAATTAATCCTAAAATTGCAGTTGCTTATAAACAATCATTACTTCATTTTTTAGTAAGGTTTATTATTTGTATCACTTTCTACTGTTATTTTTTTAATTTTTAGACAAGTTCTTTATATTCTCACATGGCTGAACTATATGAACAAAAATGGAGTGCAAGTCTAAATTGCCAACAATTTGCTCGACGTTTCATCGAAGAAACAATAGGTTTAAACTGGCCGGACGGTGTTTCAGTTGCTGGTGATGTATTGCCGGTGATGATTAACTTTAATGTGTTGCTTGTTTCACCGAAAAACAGAAAAAAACGTAAAAGAAATAGAAAGACAGAATAGCTGTTACTTTTTTTATGGACTGTAGTGTATTAGTACATTTAGATTTGATTTAGTATTCTTTCAGATAGTTAAATGAAATACCTGAAGTTAATATGAATATTAAACAACCAATGACAGTTATTGTTATATGTATAACTATCGGTAACTTAAATTGATGAATGTAATGAATCACAATTACATTCGTGTGCTACAACAATTTGATCTAACCATCTAATAGGATGTCCAGTCTTTTTTCTTATCTATGATTTATTTTGAACTTAATATATTCTCTTATTTAATGCTTAAAACCATTTTATACTTTTTTGCCGTGGTGTTCCAATGGCAACGATAAAAGCATTAGCACTAGATCATCGTAATGATGTTTTATTTAATTGTATAGCACTCATTTCTGGCCTTCTTGGTAAGTTTTATAATCGAATTTTCATGAAAAATTTTCTTTGAAATTTATTATATAGCTGGTCAAGCTGTTTCACGACAAATTGATATATGATTTGTTGTGGTTGATCCACGTAAGAATAAATAATTAAATGTATTTTTTTTTGTAATATTCTATCTAGTTGGAGCAATAATCATCTCTATTTATATTCTTATTTCATTGATTCTTCAAGCTACTTATAACACAACAACATATTCCTTAAAAATTCTAAATATTTAATTCTTAATAGTACGTATTCGTCATTTAACAGGTGTAATGGCTGATCCAGATTTTCTCAAATTGATAACACGGATTGCTATTAATTTTTCACCACATCTTACAAAAATTGTTGTGGTAAAAGCTTTTCATTTTCGTACTAATCTTCTCGTTGAAGGTGAAACTCAAATCTATATTAAAACTAATTTCATTTTTATTGTATAATTAGTCGATATTGGTTTACTGGGTAATATGCAAATACAACAAGCACATAATATTGATATTAATTTGCAAATGAAACTTTAGTCATTGGCTGAAATGGAACGTGTTTTTGTTCATATTGATTATGAATTTGAATATAAGCTTGATGAATATAAATAAATCTAACTAAATATTGATATTTGATTAGAAATTAGATTTATAATAATTTGTCTCAACAAGAAAAGCAACAATTTGATTAGAAAATAAAGACATTTTTATCCCAAGGATATTAACTGTAGTAAAAAAAATTAATTTAGATACAAACTACACATGAAAATTAAAGTCTTGCTATTCGAACAATCGACTTTTGAAGTGAATTTGGTCGATTACGAACATATATATATCCATTTGGTATAAGATACAGAATGTTGCTTGTTAATGAGGATATCAATCATTTCTTTTTTTATCAATATCATCGTACACATGTTACAATTTATAACGTACAACAACAATTGTTGATTTTGCCACGTCAGAGTAATTAACACCAATAAAATATCTGAAAATCTTTTTTGAACAAAGCTCTCTAATGTCATTCAGCATGGTAGCCGTTTTACTCATTGCATATAACAATCGTATGTTACGTAGTATAGATTTGTTCACCATGCATATTTTCTTTATTTTTATGAAACACACATCTATATATATAATGTTCAGTGTGTGTCTGTTTCTCTGTGCCGGGTCAAAGATCAAGAGTCAAAGGTTAAAGGTCAAGGGTCAAATAAGACTGTAAAGGAAAATGCGCCAAAGGCTACTGGGGACTCAAGGTCATCATGGGCTATTATGTGAAGGTATCCATAGGTCCTCAAGGGTATTATATGAGAGTACCCGCAGGTCCTCAAGAGCTATTATATAGGGGTACTCATAGGTCGCCAGAGGCTATTATATGGAGGTGTCCATATGTCCTCAAGAACTATAAGGTTATAAGGGGTAGGGGATAAGGCTACAGGAATATGAGGCTATAAGCTGGTAAGGGGATAAGGATATAAGAGTAAAGGAGATAAGAGGCTAAGGGTACAGAGGCATAAGCGATAAAGCTAAAAGAGTATAAGGAGATAAGAGTATAGAGGATAAGTAGATGAGGCTGCAAGGGATCTAAGTGATAAGCGAATAACGGAATAAGACTATAAGAGGTAATACCACAAGAGTATAAGGTTACAAGGGGGTAAGGCTACGAGGATATAAGGCCTCTCTATATATATAATGCGACCTGTCTGATTGTCTATTACCGAATCAAGGATAAAGAACGGATGTGAAACTTTACAGGAAAAAGCATCCGTGCAGTATGCACGGGCTCTCGCTAGTAGACATATAAAGCAGAAAGCAACGTTTATGTAATTTCCTTTGTAGAAAAGATGATGATGACGAACACGATGTTGAATGATTTAGCTATTGTTGTCGTCACCGACAAGAGCTATGTTGATAAACTAATATCAATCTTATATTAAAAAAATATCTATAAATCCTTTTTTCGTCCTCTTTCGTACAAGTACGTGAATATATCTTTACACGTTCTTGTCTCCTTTTTCGTGAAAATGGGTGCCTCATGAACTCCAGAGTAATAACAACAATGTGCCGATATTTGTATTGAAAATTGACAGAAGTTTGAAAAATGGCATCTGAAGACTGTAACATAGTCATGGGAGATGAAACTTGAATTTATTAACGGAAAAATAAACTAGACGAGTGATATAAAGAATGGATAACAAAAGAAGAAAGTCTTCCCACTGTAATGAGAAGACAATCATTGTAAAAAAAATGTTTCTAATGCTTTTTATGACAAAGGAACTATTACTTTTCATAATTTACTTTCTGGAATATCATTCAATGCCATATATTATTGTGAGATGTATTTAAAAAGATTATTCAAAAGGTTGCATAAAAAACATTATCAACAACAGAAGGCATTAAGTTATATCATAATAATGTAGGATCATATATGAATGATATTATTTTTAATAATCTTGCAGAAGAAAAAACCTAAGTTATGGTTCGTCCACCATATTCTCCTGACCTTGCTCCTTCAGGTCTTTGGTTGTTTAATTGCTTGAAAGATAAACTTGATACATATCCAGATATTAGATGCTTAGTCATAGCAATAAGCAAGGAGCTCCATTCAATATCTATTCGTGTATACTAGGAGACATTGCAGAAATGGATTCAAAGGATAAAACTTTGTTTTGAACATTATGAGATGACTTCGAATATTTACTGAAAATACATAACCAAAATGTTTTTCATACAATTATTAGAAAGTGCAAGAGCTTTTTGACTGTCCTATGATTTTTATACATTACTGAATGGATGAAAAAGGTTTTCTCAATTGAGAATTTATTTGCTACATAGCCACTGACATAATGTGATAGGGTACGCAATCCCTTTTTTTTATTTGTCATTTCACGAAATGTATTGTAAACTACTTAGTATGTAGGGATTATTTACACCATCTTTCTTTCGAAATAACCATGATTTGATAAATTCCTATAATAATATAGAAATGTAGCAAACTATAAGGTTTTTACTGTCTATCATGGTGTAGGTGAGAGTTTATCTTTCTGCTTGTTGATATAAGTTCTTTATTGCACATATATGCTATGATCGTAAGCTAAGATGGTAGTTTTATTTAGTGACAAAACTTTAACTTCAGAAATGAAGAAGAATCTATTTGAAAAACTTGAATTCAGATGTTCCGATGAAAGACACCATCATTTATCGAGATAATATCAATGAATATCAACTTTTATATTCAATCAGACGAACGAATATGATAGAAGGCATTATTATAAGCTTTTAAAATATAATGGAAAGGATCAAACTTTATTCGGATTATGTGCCGGACATCAAGATGGCATCATGCTTATACCAAAACATCCGAGTATCGTTACAGACAGTACTATTTTGGGGATTCTGTTGCCTGTCGTCCGATAAGGGTGAGAACAAATGTATTTATTGTCAAATAAATGGAATATCAAAAGAAGTAGCAAGACGTTACTTAGATAATTGTTTCATTTCATGACTTCGTGAAATGACATTCTTTATCTTTGAAATTATCTTAAATCATTTCATATTAATATACGAAATCACTAACCTGATCATGAATAAATCTACCGAGATCGGGTAAATGGCTGTTGCAAAACTCGCATGTAATCATGATTATCGAAGGATTTTTGTTGGACAAACGCTGATCTATACATGTGTGTGTTTTTGGAAGTGAATTTGATTGATTAGAAGAAGAGGTCTGTCTTTGCTGTGGCTTGTGACTGTCGATTATATTGTGAACGACATCCGTCTACGAAAAAAGGATAGAATAACTTAGATTGTAAGCAAAGTATTCTTGTCAACTATGAGAAACAGCAGCGCAAGTATATAAATTGCTCTTCAAAGCAGCTATTGTTCTTTCGTGTTGCTATTATAGATTAAGTCTTTTTCAGATTTTCTCAAAATGAGGTAGGTATGATTATATTAGATGTATTGTATAACATTGAAGAACACAATTTATTCAATGTATTCTCTCAAAACTAAATTTACATGAGGATAATACATAAAAGCTAGATGATGTCTGTGTGACGTTTATTGTCCAAGCTTTCGGTTGTTTTCAAGATATTCAATCCTTGAATGAGATGTGATTTTACTATGTTGATAATCTATACTTCAAGATAAGCAGCATGTCAAAATGTTATCCTATTAATTACAAATGATAATGCA